GTTTCCAAGTCAATAATTTTCTTCTGCAATTCCTCCTTTTCTCTCAAGAGATTTTCTAACTGGCTTTCCTTTTCTTTCAAGTTATTTTGTGTTTCCTGCATCATCTGTCCCAATTCTGATTCCGTTTGTTGAAACTGTAACAATGTGGTGTTGACTCTGGCCAATTCTGCAGACATTGCCTCCTTATCACTTCTTTCTTGCTGGATTTTTGCTTCTGCCTCACTTTGATACGATTTGAATTTGGATACATACTTCTTCTTTAATTCCTGGAGTTTATTTTGCCAGGTTTTTTCAAGGTTGGAAATTTCATTTGTGTGAGTCTTTCCAACTTCCGCAATTTGTTCATCTTTTTCTAAAATCTTCTGCTGTAACTCTGAGGCTGTTGATAATTGGTTAAAAGAATCATTGAGCTGTTCCTTTAATCGACTAACTTCCTCCTTCTGCATGGATTCGCTTCTTTCAATCCTATTCTTATAATCCTCAATCTGACTCTCATAACTATGGATACAATCCTGCATTTTCTCTTCAGCTGCAGAGAGTTTGTCGTTTAGTTCCTTTAGTTTACTCTGAAGCTCGTTATCACTTGATTGCATTTCAGCCATTCTCATTTCATAGTCATCTCGAATTTTCTGCATCATGGTGGCTTGGTCTTCTATAACTTTATTTTCAATGGCTTCTCGTTGACTTCTGCTTGTGTCCAATTGGTTGAAGACATTTTTCAATTCTTCCTCTTTTTCAACGAGTCTCTTTTCTAAATTTTTTGCTCTTTCTTCAACATTCACACATTCGTCCTTCAAATCCTGAATTTCGTCATCTTTGAGTTGCGATGCTTCATTAACAGCCTTTAGCATCTCCTCCATTGAAGAGCTCTTATTTTCAAGTTCCACAACTCTGCTTGATGCTTCCTGTAATTTGATGTCTTTCTCTTGTAGTTCTGTTTCATGTTTTTCTGCGATTCCAGCCAACTGATTTGTTAATTCTACTACCATTGTTTCTAATTGACCAATCTTATTGTTCTGTTCTGTTTCTAAACTCTGTTGCTGGGTTTCGAAATTCTGTTTAAAAGAATCCAACATGGCAGACAATTCTGTGTTTCTGTTTTTGCTATCAGCTAGTTCTGCATTTAAAGTTTCAATCTGTTTAGAATATTCAGCCAATTCTTGTTCCTTTTGAGCTAAGCTGATCTCCTTCTCAGCTATATCTTTTGTAAGTTCCAATAATTTTGTGTTTACTAACGTCAGTTCTTCGTGAACAGATGACAATTCACTATCATATTTCTCTTGGAGATCATTCAGTTGTTTTTGCATATCAGCTTCAAATTCTGCCTTCTGCTTCTGGAATTCTTCTTCCTTTTGCTCCAGAGTTTTTCTAGAGATTTCTTCAATATCTTTTACCTTACACTCCCATTCTTGAGTCAATTCTGTCATGGCCGTTTGGTGCAGCTGGGCTTGATGTGCCAGCTGTTCTTCACGAAGGGCCTCAAGATTTTTGGTGATGTCGCCCATTCCTGTGTCCTTCTGTTCTAACATCTCATTCAGCTTCTTGTTGAAGTCTTCATCCTTCTCTTTTATTTTCTCTTCAAATCTTTCTTTTAACTTCACCATATTTTCTTTATATTTTTCTTGCTTCTGTTCAAACTTCTCTTTAAATCCAGCTTCCAGACCATTCAAAATCTCCTCATGAGATTTCTTTAATTCCTCAATGGACGTTTCTACGCTGTCTTTTTCGGCTTGAAGAGATCCAACTTTTTCTTCAAATGTCTTTTGTCTCATTTGTATCTCTTCTTGGTGATTGGTTGAAAGTTTCTCCATTTTTTCTTTTAAATCTTTTATTTTTGATTTCGCCTCGGTCCTCAATTGCGTAAATTTTTCGACCGTTTCAGTCAGTTTTGCGTCTTTGTCTTCCAGTTCTAGTTTCTTTTCAGTGATATCTGCTTCAAGTTTTTTGACTTTGGTTTCAAGCGAAGAAATAAACGAGGAATTTTCTTCAATGGACGTGCGGAGAGCGAATATTTCATCGTCTTTTGTGCTGACTGATTTCTGTAAATCCTCAATCTTCTCTGTCTTGTCAATCAAATCAGATTCCAAATGTGCTATCCTCATTTCGTATCCTTCCTTTTCAACTGTTGTCTGTTTGGTCAATGTTTCCGTACTTTCGTTTAATTTTTGCGATAACTCAGATTTTGTTTGCTGTAAGTTCTCAAGAATCTGTTCCAAGTTGGTTAACTTCTCTTCCAAATCAACTTTTTCAGTGACGATAGTTTTTTGACAATTCTCCAGCGACTGGATCGTTTCTTCCAAATTTTTTATATATTTTTCTTTTTGGTTTAAGGCTTCAGTAATCTCCTCCTTTTCTTTGTGGAGTTCAACCCTTTCTTCCTTCTGACGTTCGATTTGTTCCAGGAGTTCTTTGGTTTTGGATTCAGACTCAACCATTTTCGACTGAGCTTCTTCTAATTTGGATACTACCTGAGCTTCTGATTCGGCTACCGATTTGGCACATTCTAAGCTACTCGATTCTATTTTCTGGATACATACTTCTTCAACTTTTGACTTTTCATATTTTAAGGCCTCCAATTGGTTTTGAAGAGAAACAAACTGAGATTCTTTCCGTTCTAACTGAGCGACAAGAACCGACTTCTCTTCTTGGACGGACATTGATTCTTCTGTGGTTTGCTTGAGTTGAAGTTTTGTTTCCTCAAACTGTTTTTGGAGAAGATCTCTTTCTTCGTGTAATGTTTTATTATCTACCTGTTCCTTCTCTAAATCATTCCTCAGTCTCAAATTTTCTTCCTCAAATTCCTGTTTTTTGTTTTCAAGAGCATTGACAGTATCATTCAAACTCTCCAGGTGTTTCTCAAATCCATCTTTTTTACCGATCAAATCAGATTTCAAATCCTCAAATTCTTTCTGAAGATTTTCCACAAAAATTTGCTTTTCTGTGAGTTCATTCTTCAGACCTGTAATTTCTTCAGCTTTTCTTTGAATTTCTGATTTCTGTTCATCAATCTGTTTTTCTAGACCCTCAATTTGAATTTTTCTCTGTGCTAATAGTTCTTCCAGATTACTCTTCACTGAGTCGAACTGAGATTTGTAGAATTCTTCCACCTCTGAGTTTGACCCCTGAAGTGTTTCTTCATATTTATCTCTCATGGCGTTCATTTCTTCCTTCTGTTTCTGAATGAAGGCCTCCATTTTTTCCTGATAGGCCTTGTCAGTTTCTGTTTTAAAAAGTTGAAACTGGTCGGTATGACTTGCTTTCAGGTTTTCCACCTCTGTACTGTGGTTGTTCTGTAACTGTGATATGGAATTGGTTAAATTTATCTCGGCTTCTCTCAAACTTTCTTCCAACTTTCTGATGGTCTCAAGATACTGTTCTTTTTCCTAAAAGTAAAAGAAATATTTTGCTAATAGTTTTAAAGTTTGGATTAAACAAAAACAACTAACATGATGTTTGTCTCGTTGCTAAGTTTGCCTGTGATGTCTTTGTTGTCATGTCACTAGCTATCCCCCAAACTGTCCACTTAGCTATCCCCCACCTGTCCACTTAGCTATCTCCCCATACCTGTCCACTTAGCTATCCCCCTACCTGTCCACTTAGCTATCCTCCTAACTGTCCACTTAGCTATCCCCCTACCTGTCCACTCAGCTATATCCCTACCTGTCCACTTAGCTATCCCCCCACCTGTCCATATAGCTATCTCTCCACCTGTCCACTTAGCTATTCCCCCTACCTGTCCACTTAGCTATCCCCCTACCTGTCCACTTAGCTATCCCCCCTACCTGTCCACTTAGCTATCCCCGACCTGTCACTTAGCTATTCCCCTACCTGTCCACTTAGCTATCCCCCTAACTGTCCACTTAGCTATCCCCCCACCTGTCCACATAGCTATCTCCCTACCTTACCTATCCCCCCTACCTGACCACTTGCACAATTTCTAGCCGTGTACTCGTAGAACTATTTTATATGATATAACCACTACTCCAGAATCAATTCTTCACTTACTTTATTTATGGAGTTTAACATCCACTCAACACAAACTAGGTCATTTCGGGAATAACACATGGTTCAATTTTATTTCAATAAGTCACTTGCACGTTACTCTTTAGCAGTGGGAGGAAACCGGAGGGCTCGGAGAAAACCCACGTACAACCAGGGATTCGAAACCACGCCAATGACGCAATGACAGACCTTATAATACAGCGTGCACATGCTAACCATTCAACCATTCAACCACCGTTATCTATTTGTTATATTAATTGGAGAAGTTTATCTATTTAGAATATTACCTGGAGAAGTTTATCTATTTCACAACTCAGCTGTACTTTACGTTTCTCCTGTTCTGACATGGCAGCCATCTTCTGTAGTTCCTGCTCTTCTAACTCCAGTTTAGAATTTTGTGAGGTCTCTGATAATCTGCGGTTTAATTCATCTTGTAGTTGAGCTAGAGCATGCTGTTTTTGTTGTTCCTATAGAAAATAAACATGTTGTTTAGGATATCACTCAGGTTCATCCGCAACAGGCTAGTGGGGGGCAAACTTTCCATTGGACGCACTCAAAGCCAATGACCAATGTCAGTATGGGCACCCCAGAAGCCCTTGCCCCCCCCCCCCTTACCAAACATTTTTGGGCTAGCTATGCGCCTGCCCAGTCATGTAGATCTTTAGTCTCTGTCAATCCAGTTTCTTATATTGTCTCTGCATCGTCTGTTTTCATTAGTCAGAAAAGTAAGACATTAAACTCCATTTCATTCATTCATTAGTCTGGACAAAATTGCACTAAATTAGCATACCTATGATGTCATTCATTTGTTTAACCAATCAGCATCGGTGTTTCAAGTGGCTATTTGGAAATTCAACTTTTGCTTTGTTTGTTTAGACCATTTGATTGGCTAATCTCTCACATCAACCAGAACTATGGTAAGTTAACAGATTCTGATATAATGAAGACAAGTAAAACAATATTTTGAACTATAAAAGAAATGAAATAGGATCTGTGGATTAACCAGTTTCTCTATTTACCTTATTATCTAATATCTCTTTATTTGTTTTTTGTTGTTCATCAAGTTGATTTTTCCAGAATGTATCTCTTTCTTCTACTGTGGCATTAACTCTCTCAATAATACGGGTTTCAGTTTCTTGCTGCAATAAAATAATAATTATAATTTCTGTACACTTAGTCTAGATATATAATTACTACTCCAGCCCATTAAACTACATGCTTTCCCTTTTTATACCCTACACATCCACCCTACTCTACCCTACTAGTTCATCAAACAACTATACCCCACCCCTACTCTACACTAGAATATCCTCCACCAACCCTAACCTAACCTAACCTTCCTTACTCTACCCTACCCCAGCAGATCAAACACCAATCCTACCCTATTATAGCAGATCATCCAACAACCCTACCCTACCATAGCTGATCATCCAACAACTCTACCCTACCATAGTGGATCATCCATCAACCCTACCCAAATAGATCATCCACACAAACCTGTATTAGAGCAATGGCTGCTGCTTTCCCGCGCGATAATTCCTGGACAAGTTTTGATTTTTCCTCTTCCATATTTTGCTCTAAAATATCAAACTTTTCCTCCAATTCCTTTTTCTCATCTTTCAATCGTTTTATTATATCTCTAGATTTCTCAAGATGATCCTGACCTGGTGAAACCAAACAAACAATATTCAATCATTTAAACAATTCTCCCATTGACATGTCATAGATAAATTAATCAGAAAAAAAGCTAATCTGAGAGAAAGGCTTCCAGATATGAAATATAATCAATCAATCAGTTGAATAAAATATTTACTGTCAAAATCATATCTTATGAAATACTTGAAGTGAAGTTCAAATTTACAATCCTAAAACTACCTAGCGCCATTTCCAGTTTTTGGACAATGTCTAATTTTGTTCAACAACATGTACTCAAATAGATTGTTTAAAAAGATATTTAGATGTACATAATCTGCTTGGATTCCATGGGAATAAAAAAACAAGCCCATCAAAAGATTTGACAAAACATGTATAGGTGGCGTTAGTTTGTTTAAATAGTCTACAGAGAATACCAAATGTTGCGAAATCGTAAATCTATCTTCTATAGTTCACAAGGGATTCAAAATATCCTCAAATGATGACCAATAGCCATTACGTAGCTGCTATATGTTTAGTACACAAGCTATCTGTGTGACTGAGTAGAAGTAAAATCATAGTGTTGATTGTTGTATTAACATGTTTTGCTGGACGGGTTGCTTTCTACATTGAAAACTACAGATCCGTAAAGCTGTGGACGTCGTTGAGCAATAATTGATTTTCATCTCAACTTTAAGATCCGAAAATGAAATTCAAAATTGTAAAAAAATACTAATACAAAAGTCCATGAACATTTCATTTTACCTGATTTTTGTAGTTTTTCAATCTTTTGTTGTAACTCATCATTTTTATATTTTAAAGATTTCATTTCTTCTGCAGCCTGTAAAAGTTGTCCACGAAGGTTTCCAGCTTCTTCATCTTTCTTCTCAATCTCTTCATGTACCTGTATATAATAAAACAGGTATCATTGATTCTAGGAGTTACCTTCTATCATCACTTTTTACAACAATAATTGGCTAACAGTTAAATATATTCAATAATAATTTAAATTATCATTCATAGAGTTTCTACTTAAACTTATCCTTGTGTTGATCATCCAAAAACAGGAAGAGGAAATCTATTTTATATTATATTCTACTTCCTCTTCTAGATGAAATATAAATGAGGAAGAGAGAGAGAGAGAGATAGAGAGAGATAGAGAGAGAGAGAGAGAGAGAGAGAGAGAGAGAGAGAGAGAGAGAGAGAGAGATGGTTTAACATCCACTGCACAAACACTAGGTCACTTCAGGACTAAAATATGGTTCAATTTTATTTTAATAACTTGCTTGCGCGTAGGGGTCTTTAGTCGTGGGAGGAAACCGGATGACCTGGAGAAAACCCAGGTGGTTGGACAGGTGAAATGTAAATGAGAAGATGTATCAGGTGTAACCTACCTGTTTTTTAACTTCAGCTATAGCTAATTCTCTGTCTGTTTCTAGTTGAACTATGACCTGTTTAGCTTTTTCTATTTGTGATTGTAGTTTACTGATATCAGACGTACTCGACGATCCCTGAAAATACATTTATTTCACTTTCAATATTTCACTTTCAATCTTATCAAAATACACATCTATATTATTTCGTTTCGTTTTTTTATACTTTCGATGGCCTACACTACATGAAGATCTGACCATTGTTTTGGGGGGTCGGGTCAGAGGTCATATGAGGGCTTTTGACCCTATGATTAACCAATATCTGATTAACCAATCAGCATTGATGTTTCTAGTGGATTACCCACAGTTCCGTGCAGCTCACGCCAAAAGCTCGCCATAACAGATCATTTCATTGGCTAATCCCTCACATCATCCAGAACACGTCAATGATAACAACTCTTTCAGATCCTAGAGTAGTAAAGACAAGTAAAACAAAATTTTGAAGTATAAAAAAGGAAACAATATAGTATTAGTATCTGTGTTTTAATCAGATTGTATTTTATTATGTATCAGAATCATGTCAAATTCTCCGTCAGAGACGACTCCCTGGGGAAACTGAGAAAGCAAGAATGTTAAGTCGTGTATTTGGTTACACGTTTCTTTGAAGGTGCTAGTAAAAGATCCCTTGGCAGTGGGAATTTTGGTTAAAAGTGTCCAAAAATCATATTATGCATTAAACATTCTGCTGGCTGGCAATACAATATAGAAATTAACAGCTTAGCTATATAATAGTTACAAAATGGTCATGTAGAGTATTGATGAGACATTAAACTTCAATCTACAGTAACCACAAGGTCCTGGGTTCAATTTCTGTGTTGGCAGTCAGAGTTCCATGGGATTTTCCAGCTGTTTCTGATGGGCAAAAAACTGAGATCCTGTAAATCAACCCATTACAGTTGGAATTTGAAGAGTCCAGTTGAGTCCAATTTCCCTCAAAACACACAGTGTGTAGTAAGTGTACCCATTTTCATTTGGTGCACCTTGTTTACCCATTTTCATTTGGTGCACAGTGTGTAGGCTACCCATTTTGATTTGGTACACGGTGTGTACGCGTTTTTGTTTGATTTGATTTTGAATGTGGAGATGTGGAGATGTGATTGTACCTTTAGTTGATCTATATCTCTCTGTCTATCTTCTAGCTGTCTTTGTAAATTCTCTTTTTCTTCTGCTAGTTGAATGTTCTTCTCTTTACCTGATTTAATAGTTTCTTTACATCGATTTAACAAACCCTCTAATCGTCTGACCTAAAAAATATAAACAAAACATCGATTTAACAAACCTTCTAATCATCTCACCTAAAAAAACAAACAACACTACACTTGTAAAATTGTTCAAAATTATGCCATAACAATAATTAAACTACATGGTCAAATAAATAGTAAAATCTTAAAATTGTTTTAAGAAAACAAATTTTCAAGATTATCTTACCTTTGTTACTTACAAAATTTGAATGTCATAAATGAAGAAATTTTTAATGCAAGTGCTACATATCATATCATAGCTCTGGATTTCCAACCAAGTGGCTGGTCATAGGCCAAACTTACAATACTGAGTGTTATGAGCTAATGAAGATGGACATACACCATCTTGTGTACACAGGACCTCATCTCAACGACTTGATCATCTACATTGCCAGGCCCATTACAAATCATGGGCTACTATCTTGGCAAGCACTTTTATCAAATCTGGGATATCTTGGTCAGTGAGCCAGTGCCTTACTTAACAACCATGCATTACGTTAATCAATGACATTTACGGTTTAAACAATGGAAATGATGTTATTACCTAGTAATATTGTCTAACATTTTAAAATCGCAAAGAGCTACTCATTTGAATCACTTATTTTTCAGAAATCATAAAGCAAATATTTCACGATTTTTCATTTGTTCTATTTTCGTTTCATTTTTCTATACAGTAAGACTGTCAACTATAATAGACAATCCAGGAGAACTGTAAAACAGAACAAACAGAACAAACAGTAGACGAGTGAGAGTGAAGACAGCAGAATCAGATATCCATTCCCTGAGAACATGTAGCCTACAATAGACAGAGGTAAAACAAATAAATCATATTTAGCAAACTAACTTTTTCACGTAAGCCGGCAACCTCCCCATCTTTCCCACCACCAGGGGGAGCTGATTCGGTTGTTGCTGATTTTTTTGGCATCATTTTTTCCTGTAAATCAGGTGGAATGTCTTTGCCTTCCTTCAATAACTTTACCTGAAAATAAAATATATAAATCAAGGGTTTGACATACTACTTTTCTCCACCAAACAATCTAATGATGCCCAGTTAACCTCATGAGGGATCAGATAATACTAGTTGTGTGATTCAGTCAATATTTACATGTAGCACGAGCTAAAGGGTTAAATATAAACGGCCAACTAATGTTACTACCTGCATCTGTAGAACTTTAACAAATTCTTCTTTTTCATCCAGTAGCAGACGGTAATTCTCCTCTAGATCTCGTTTAGCTAATTGGTCCAGTTGGATCTGTTCCTTTAATTCTGAGATACGACGAAAAGCTTGATCCTGAGACTGGGTCAACGTTGTCTGAGAGAGAAAAAAAAAATCATCATAAATTGATAAGATAGCTAAAACTAAGGAAAACGTAATTTCATTTTTTAATTCTTCAGGCTCTTGCTAAATAAAAGCCACGAGAGTCTAATGAATATTTTCTTTTTTTTAATTTTAAAACATAAATATTTGGAACTAAGAGTTTTGAGTAGAGATAAACCAAACATTTTTTGTTCCTAAAACAAACATTATGCAAGAGCTAAATCTGCCTATTGCAGGTCTTTCTTTAGGCCTTAAATGTTATCTAAACTATTAATTTGACATTAATTAACCTATCCAGACTATAATCAACTCTCGATGTCATAGCTAGCCTACGATGTTTATTGGATTAGGTTCCGATTTCCTGTTCGACTTCCATCATAATTTAATCATTAAATGGATAATCAAGACTATGTTTTTCATCCTACCGACTTTAGTAATGATGATCCAGGCTAGGCTGAAAATTCAATCGCTAAAATCTTGGTTCATATTGGATCAATTTGACTGAAATTTTCAGCAAATTTCCTTTACATTATCTAGTTTTTAACTATTATAGTGAGAACAGATAGCTCTTTATCTAATCCCCACATAATCTATCTTAAATTATTTTTCTTCCCAAAGATAGAAGCAATATTTATATAGATGTCCCCCCCCCCCCTAAATATTCAAATTGGAGTAGCATCAAACCTTTTCTGTTTACTTAAACTCATTTTAATAAAGCAGCAGGAGTAATAACAATTCACATACCTTAAATTTCTCTTTTTCCTGTGCTAAATCTTTATATATTGTCATCAGCTAAAAATAGAAATAATAAATAGAAATTAGTTGAATCAAGAAAGTGATCAGTTATAAAAACGTAATCGACATGTTTAAAGATACATTGTCCCGAAAATATTTATCGGGTGGTTATTTCCAATAAAAGTATATCAAATTTAGTATAAATGGAAAGTATAGACACTCAATCTTAATAGAAAAAATACTGGATTAATACGAAAAACACTCACGGGGCAAGTACTGGACAAAAATGTCAGGGTATGACTAACTGGCAACCCTACTGTTATCTACCAGCTTATTGTGTGCTAGCTTGGCTGAGGGAGCGGTTGTTGTTTCTTGATCAAATGGTTAGGCGGTTTTGGGAACATTGAGGGGTGTCAACGTACAAAAGACGGCGGAAAAGAAGTTGACAGAAAATAAGTAAGAATTTACTTAGGCCTCAATATGGTAAACGGACAGTAAGTAATGAAAAATACATTCTGAAAAATGGACCCTCCATCAATGAAGTCAGGGGACAAATAGATTAATTAGTTTGAATATGTTTTTAGTCCAAATATATCATGACATCACACAGTTTGTATGCAGGAAAGTATCTTTAAATATCCGATAATGACATTACTGCTGATTATTGTAGGCCTACTGTTTGGTGGGGATGATGTTTGTGCAGATGTTTGGTGGGGGGGGGGGATGTTTTGTGAGTAACTATCCCACATACAATAGAATGGGTTTCAACGCCTCAATACAATACTTTGATCATTTTGAGACTAACATGTTTTAATTCTTATTTCTGTAGTTACGTGTATGTGTGCAATTGAAGAATACTGCCCAGATATCGTCATTCCAGCCCACTTTTCTTCAAATTCAAACTGAAGGGTTCTTTTATGTGCATGCCAATAAGTACGCTGGTGGACCCCATCTAAACAGCTTGGCATACTTTTGTTGTCAGGGAAATTGAACCCATGACATTCTAGTAGCGTCGACTACTACTGACCAATGTTATAGAACATCTGTAGATTGGGGTTACTCAGCCAACTAGGCTAATTAACACAATTATATGCCCTGCAGTCTAGTTATTATTGCCAGGGCTGCTATAACAGCCACTGTTTCTTGCCAGGCTCTCCATCTTAATCACTGTCAAGGGGAAACCACACTGAATATTCCTGAGGAACTTTGTTGACCAACACTTGTTAGTTGGCCTTACTCTGTGGTTCCCTTGCATTTAGCACATTAATTTCTTGTTATTGTGAATTCAATTTCCTATCTCAATTCATATAACAAAAAATAATTTAAATGCCATTTAGATGAGAAACTTTTATTACCTCCATGAATTTAGATTTATATTTAACTGCTCTTCGCTCATATTTTTTGATGTATAAATAAAGATCATCTTTTGATACAGATTCCAGATTAACAGACGAATCTTCCACTTCACTCTCAATATCAGATGGCAGCGAGTAATGATGCTGGGTAAATGAAACATTTTGAAAGAAGGAACTGTCGCTTGTCACAGAGCTGATGGACGATGTCCGAGATCTTGGAACCTTTGGTGTATCATCTCCCAAAACAGAAGCAAATTCTGTTGCTGTCTGGAATATAAAATATTAGTTTGGACATTACTAAAATGCAGACTAAATTGAGTACAGAGTTGAGATCACCATAGGATGTCAACTTTTGTTTTATGACATCATCAAATAGTTTCTCAAAAATTGCTAAAATTGTTTTTCGAATTCCATATTTGAAAAAAGAAAATACAGTTAGAAAGATAACCATCAATTGAAGGAGCTTTATCTCTATTCCTTCGAACCTAAAATGGATGAAAATGGGACAAAAAGCACATATCAATGAGTGTATAAATTGATTTACAATATATTTATTTTTTAAAACTTTTATTGTAATTTCTAATCAGTTTTGTTTGTCGAAACAAGTGAGCAGTTCAAATTGAATGGCAGTCGCTTGCATCTGGTAAGTTCAGTCTACATGGGAAGTATGGTTTGACATTTTACTTAAGCACTGGCATTAAGCCTCAATCATAAAAGCACCTCATTCCAAATTGTGCTTGAGACCATAGAGTATAAGCTGGCTATATCATTCAGGGCCCAGGGGCCAATATTTTCATGTGTATGTAATGTTGAAGATTCTTAATAATACTGATATAGAGCCTTACGTCCTTAAAGCTACCTGAAATTACCACAGTACAAATGTATTAAATGACATGAAATTAAAAAAAAGACTTTCATATGAGTCCATTTTAAAGAGGAAGTCATACTCTTCATCATGCTTGACACTAAACAATAAATGCCTGATAAAATTACTGCATTGTGTTGAAATACATTAGGCCTACAAAATGATTTATCCAAACTGAATGAACATTTTTTAAACTTTGGCTTACGGTACCTGATAGCGTGTATCATTTGGTCCTTCTTGTAGAGGAATGTCAACTAGTTGACCTGTAGGGGTCCCATCTGTAGCTTCCGGTACAATTGGAGAAGGTGTGCTTATACCATCCCCTCCCCCTGCCGTTCCACCTGAAATAGCTTCAGGTGATTTTAAAGGGGTGCTGCTAGCGACAGGGGATCCGATATCATCTGATACTTTCTCATCACTCTGCAAAAAGAATAGAAAAAAACATATGTCAATGGTACAGGGTTATTAAAAATAAAAAAAAACAGACAGTGAAGATGGTTCACCTCTTGTTTGTACACTGGCTTTACCCAGGGCATTCTAAGAATAACAAAATTATGGTTACTGGTGCATTAGCAATAGGAGGGAGGGAAATTAGCAAGGATAAACAAAGTTTTAGCCAACTCCTATATTTGATTCCCAAATGTCAAGGGTTCTCTTGCACACACCAATAACATAGGATGACAATATGTACGCTAAGAATAAAAATTCATTTGGTTTCTCAGATAATGTACATGTACATTATAAGAACCATTAAAACCAATAACAAATCCAGCTTCTCAATCTCAAGAATAAAATTTATGTGGAAATGTGGATTGTTTGATAGCTTCATCACTAGGCAAGGTTCTATTTAAAATTCAATAAACACATCTTAAGTTAAAGGGGCCAAATATAAAGTAACACTCGTGGGTTTGGAGGTCTGGGCTGATAAGTAATTTTATCAAGCTTATATATTTACTAATTTAGATCAAGCAAGCTCAGATCGGAGTGCATGCTGCGATATAAATGTTTTAATCTTTCAATTTACAGGTTGTACAATGCTGGACGCTTGCATAACATACATATAAATGAATAAAATAAATAGTCTAAACTGTCAATGCTTGGATTTTCTTTTGGGGAGTGTTGGCTTAAATTTCCTTTATTTTCTTTGGAAGAATGATAAATCCTATAATGCCATTCGATTCAATCATATTAAATGGACAGTGTTATGTCCCTTTAAAATGAATTAATAATTGTGAAATAAGTTAGTCTTTTTTTTTAGATAAATTTATTAACTTCCTTCTCTGTCATATATATTGTGATTTATAAGGTTCTGATTTTCTGCACTGTAAATGTGTAAAAGTATCACACCCTTTTACGTATTTACATCAATTCAAACATTCCATATGGATGTAAAATCGATAAAGCGTTGAGGTGCTATAACTAATTAATGACTTAAATTATTAGGCTAATCCAGACTAAATGATTGGTACATGTTTCAGGTAATGAAACTAGTCTAACTATTTATGATGGATTGAGTATTATTACCTACAGCGAGACCAATTACACCAAGATTTAGGTCTAGCCTAGGGCACTGTAATCGTAGCGCATAATAATATTTAAAATTGTAAAGATTAATCAATCATTTACCCATACAAGTTGAGCTTAAGCTATGCGGGCTACAAATGTAAATTTACTTTGTCAATGGATAGTGCAGTTGCAGAACTTGTGACTTGTTGAGCAAATCAAAAAAAAAATTACCGACACTTCACTCAGTTTCGGCGACAATTTTCACCTATTTACCTTTGAAATTGCAGCTACAGCAGAACGTAAAGGGGTATTTTGTACACCCTGTTCTATTTTCTTTTTAAGATTTTTAAACATTTTCAAACATCTGTGACTGTCAAGGAATAAACATCAATTCTATCGACTATTTTTACAACTTTTCCATCTATTATGGTTGTCTGCTCTTCTTCAAAACGCATGCGCGACACGTACTTCAATCATTCAAATTACCAACTGACGAATAAATGAAACGAAATAGCACAGAATTACGCTGTCTCTTTAAAGGGACACTGCATTGCCAGAAATTTATCTAAGAAAGCGAAAAAAGCACTTCTGAGAATTGTTTTAAAAATTTCTATAATTTTTGATATTTGTCAGTCCTTTTATAGACTATATGATAATGTAGTGTAAAAAAATATTTTGAATTTCAAATTTGGCGACATACGGCATCATCTGACGATAAAAAATAGCCAGACACCAGTGGCAGTATGTTAATGCATTGATGCATTTCTGGTTTTAATTCGCGAATAAATAATCTCATTTTATAAGTCGGTTAGGCATTGATACTTTTGGGGTCTCTATATATTTACTAAGCTATCGCTGATGAGATGTACATGTTTAAACTTCCATTTTACTTGTCGTAGAATTTTTTTAAATATAGTATATTACATTACATAAAAAGAAATAATTTTCTTTTCAAAAGTTTGGCTAATTCAGCCTACAATCTTCACTCTTCCCTGAGGGACAAATTATGATATTCCATATTGTCTATTTTTATTAGAGACCCACTTTTTCTAGAGCAGCTTTCCTCACATATTTTGATTCTGGGTCAGCAGGGGGATCCAATGCCTAAAATTAGGTTGAAATGTTTTAATGTTTTAATGTTTATACAAATGGCCATAATCTTGTGATATCACTATTCCTCATTTATTCATCCGTTTATGCACCGGAAATGTTATCTAAATTATCAATTAGACATTAATTAACGTATCCAGACCATAATAAACTCTCGATGTCAAGGCTAGCCTTCGATGTTGGCTGGATTAGATTCCTATATGCCGCTAACGGCTATTGATAATTAAATCAATAAAAGTGGATAATCGAGACTATGCTGTTTATATTAATGATTTTAGTATTGATGACCGAGACTAAGCAAAAATTTCAGCCGCTTACTTTCTCGGCTCATAGTGGATCAATTTGACTGAAATTTTCAGCAAATTACCTTTACACTATCTAGTTTTTAACAATTATAGCGAGAACTGCCATCTCTTTATCTTATCTCCCATAATGTATCTTTAACATTGAATACACTTATTACATATATTAGTAATATACATGTTCGCGATAGCACTTCACTTGAAGTGGACGTTATACAGCTATTTCACATAACAGTAATATATAGGCCTATTCTTTATTAACCTCGTGCATTTTCTCAGGATCCTCAGGTTTTCTCCAAACTACGTTAAAAACCAAGTGCAAGAGAATTATTGAAATGAAATTGAACAATATGTTAGTCTCAAAATGACCTAGGTATATTTTTAAGATGTTACATGCATTAATAAAGAAACTGAGTTTGCCACTTGGAACTAAAGGCACCAAATCGTAGCAAAAACAAGCACATATCTCAACATTTTTAGCTACGATTTCGTAGCTAAGCCAATGCTAACGAACATCCATACACCAAATTCAAAACGATAACAAAAAAGAACTGAAACCTTGGCCGGTTAGATCTAAATATTAAGGCCACCTGCAGATTTCGTCAAGGTCACGAGATGTAAATAGATACCCTGACATTTTTGCCCTGTGCTTCCCTATGTTTGTTTTTCAGGGAATCCAGTATTTTTCTAGTAAGATTGGGCATCTCTACTTTCTACGGAAGACCATTAGAGTCAATCAAATGAAAAAAAAAATATATATTCTGAATTTCTGATTATCTTGTAAGATAGGCTATCTTAGGCTATGGGCTTCCGTAACTTTCCATTTATACCAAGTTTGCCATACTTTTATTGGAAATAACTATCCCATAAATACTTTTGTGAGAATGTATCTTTAATCTCAACATGATTTCCTGTAAGTTTAAAATGATACACAGACAAGTGGACTATGGTACCACTTTTAAAATAAATCTTTAACATACGACAAAGGATAATTCTGCAACAAACTAATTAAATTTTGATCCAACATTTCCTCAAACTACACTAAATCTTAGTGAACCGCCAAGATACGACATTCGACACCAAATTTTTGCTTTGCGTTTCACTCGCCAACACAATTGTAAATTTTAGTCAACTTATCATTAGACATGCGTACATCCGGGTTCTTCATAGCTGAAAGAGAAGTGTCATGGAAGGTTTCTGGTGATTAAAAAGATGAACTTTATTACTTTATTTTGGTTCCACAAACCGAGAGGATAAATTACAACCATTCTCAACATTTCGTATTTCCTCTTCTAAACAAATTCCAGAGAAATTACGCCTTTACTAGACTGTGTCAGGCGAGAACTTGAACATCAGAGAGTTAGTAAAACGAACAGTTTGTGCCAGTGAAAGAAAAAGTGGGGTGTGTTGTTTTGACTAGATCTTAGCCGAAAGTGAAAGCCAAGACTAGGATTATTGTAGAATCTACCTGAGGATGAGTTCGGCAAGTGGCCGGACAAGGACAAATGTCCGACAGTATTCGGCAGAAGATCAAGCTTTGAACAGAATATCTGAAGAGGTAATTGTTTACACTGTTCTGACAGTCACAGTGACATAAATTGTCATTTAATCATTTAAAAAAAAAAGAAGAATAGCCAGACACTAGAGTGACTGATTTAGACTAGTTTCAGTATTGATAAACAAGTAATGTTATTCATTAATAACAAATGAGCTATGATAACTGCATTTATCAAGAATTATTATACATGCCTATATAGACGTTTGCGTATCGCCTAAAAAATGAAACTGAAGTAAGCACACATGACATACATAATAGTTGGTGATCTGGGTTTTTTTTCCTAAAATGGGGGGGGGGGGGAGGTGGGTTTTTTTTTCTTATAAATGAATACCGGTGATTACATGTACATGTCATTTGGGACTCACATCATTTGGGACTCGCGTCATTTGGGACTCAAAAAAATATGACCACGACATTTGGGACTCGGGAATACGACGTTTGGGACTCGGGTATACGTCGTTTGGGACTGGGGTATACGACGTTTGGGACTCGGGATAATTTATTAGAAATAGGCCAATTCAAAACACGAAAGAAAATATTTATTAACATGAAACACGTGGTTAGTAAAAGGCTCAACCAAACGATAAAACAATAGTTGCACTTACGGTTCTTTGATAATCATCGTTTCTCATAAAAGTTATGTATTTATTTAGTAGGAATAATATGCTGATGAATTTATTTGAAAATTACCTACACAAAAAACAAAATAAATATTTAAACGACATGCAATCTTTTTTACAAGTCCCTAGAAATTGTTAACGATAATCCGTGAGCTGAACGTTGACATGCTTGTCGTAGATGGCAATACCAATCGATAAATTAGTGCGTACAAGGCAAAGTTTTTTTGTGGAAAATATAAGAAATGGCAACGATCAAAGCGGGATAATTAAAGCTGATTAACTGATAATCCCGATGTTATTGCAGTACATGTATGTTCAAAGAAACCTAACGGTTCTTTGGTGGATGAGGAAAAACGTGAGTTGTCAATCATCGAGAATGGCGGCCGTGTGTGTAGATTGCAGTTATACCGTTTCACGAAAACACATTAGCAGTGGTCGGTCAATCAAGCTCGTTTACTTTAGAATTATATGAATTAGCTAAAGGCCCGGTCCCACTGCACTTACGGATGCAAAGAGGATGTAAAACGGGGAAAAAAACGTGCCCTCCGTTTGAAAACGCCATGCATCCGTTGTGTACTCATTGCATACGTGTTTCATACGCTCTATCCATCAAGCATCCGTTCACTTTGATTTCATCCGCGCAAAAAGTTTAAGCTGCACAAAACTTTTATAATGGATGAACTTTCTGTACATGGAACGTCTATACATCGTTAGTAGCACGGAAATAGAAAGGATGTAAACGTATGCATCTCATGTATAAAGTTTTTAAAACGGACAAAGTGTTTGTATCTGGGATGTATCTGGTATATTGAAGGATCATACGCTAGGCTTCCAATGAACATCCATTTAACATCCCCGCTATATACTTCCCATGTTCGTTCTTTTCCGTTCTGTTTTCGCAAATTTTCGTCAATTTTGTCCATTTCTGGAGCGGATGAAAACGGATGGAGCCCCCCCCGAAAGTTTGCTCGTCCGCTGTGTCTCTTTTGCATACGTTTTGTGTCCATCGGCCACTGGGACCGGGCCTTAAGTCTTTAACTCAGTATCATCGGGTGCCAGTTTGAGTTAGCTCATCCACAAAGTCGTCCACAGTTACATGTAAGTCATCCACAACAGTTGATTATGTTGTCCACAACTAATGTTTGACTCGTCACAACTAATATTTAAGTCGTCCACAACTAATGCTCGACTGGTACACAGCTCTTTTTGTAATAAAGTATATTTGACGATTGTTTGTTAATTGGCGTTATGATTTTAGGTCAGTTCACCGATGTTTTTGTAGTAAAGTATAGTTGTATTGTTTGTTAATTGGCGTTATGATTTAATGTTTAGACAACATTTAATTGGCTTGATATGAAATCTGAATATAAATTATTTGATGGATAAACATTTGTGATAAGATTAGTTTATGATGTCTAACATTGTTTTTCTTCTTTATAAAAAACTATTTAACAATTACATTGACACCCTAATCAATCGCCAAAATACTTGTACTACATCACAGACTCAACGTATTATCAAGTGTTTTCTTTTCTTCATATCCATGAATTCTGCACTTTTGCATAATATTGTATTTTGCGAATAGAAAGTCCTACGCATTTTAAGAGTGTTAGAACACTAATCGGCACACCTCGGGTCCAGCACATCACATATAACCTCAGCTGTATGATGAATTCCATCATTGGAAAGTTCCCTACTTTCCAGTTCCTGGATTAAAAATGGCGATGCCCATGAAGACGCCTGTGAAGAGTTTTATCTCAAGAAACTGTATAAGCTTACATGTACAGTACATCATACACAGCTTTCGTTGTCTGAAGCTGTTTTTCTTCCAAGTTTAAACAAGGGACAACTTGCAATGCAAACTTTGAGAACTTCTTTCTAAAAGTGTTAAGTTTTTCTAATAAGTAAACCGGTAGCCGCATCACAATGGTATGGGTGTAGCTACATATTACTTACCGTCATGTAGCCGGGGTTTGCTGAATGGTGGAACATGTATCATCATTATATTTGCATCTCTTCTGCCACGGATCAAGCTACATTTGTACATGTAGCTTATTAATGCCGTTGCCTACATTTTGCACGTTTAGTTTTACCATCGGTTTTAAACAGCATAAGAAAGTCAATATTAAAAATAAAAAATGGAGAAAAAAATACTGTTTGAATAGAATTTTCTTGGCAGGCCGGTTGGTACAATTACCAACTATATTTTCTTATGTTGCCTTACAAACAGATTGAGATTGTTTTTGGCTTTCTGGCATCAGACATTATAATTAATGTAGCCAATGCATCAATTTATTAGCCCACGTTTTTTATGTATTGTTTAATGGTCGAGAGCGAGACATATAAGTAATATATTGTAACAACATGAGGGCCGTGAGGCCCAAATGTTTTTACAATATATTACGCAATGTCTTAAGCTCGAGACCATTAAGCAACTTAAAATACAGACACTTGCACGTGCTTTGCAATGAAATACGTCACTCGAGTTCAATATTTTACCAAGTTACGCTTGGCACATTGCCCGTACGATTATTTGAAATAATGGTACTCAAACATCAAAGGGTGACGTCACATCTGTATTTTAAATATTATTATTACACAAGCAACATGATATGTAGACATTTTATTTACATGTTACATAAATGATTAATTATAGGGTATTTAGTTTCAAATCAAACTTTTTTCTGCCCATGTAAGGAAGGTCTGCATGGCTTCATTCAGATGTCACTCTAGAAGCAGACTGATCATAAACTAAAAGCAGCACACATACATGTACATTACCTACTTTCTGTTTTATATTGCCAACATTTAAAATAAACATTCTACACATTTCACAAAACAGATCACTTTCGATAAAAGAATTTTTCAGACATTGCAAATTATGCACACAGACATGTTCATGTATTGTAAGACTCATATTTCATAAATGAATACAAATTTTCCTCTTTTTTCAGAGATTTAGATTTTTTGGGCAACATTTCAAATTAATAGATTGGTGTATCGATATGATAGGTGGTACATGTACATGTATAATCTCATATTGGACAGTAATGTTGATAAAATTCAATGCCATTATTGGTACATGTTTTTTTGGTGTTGCAAACTTTCAGTTATATGTTCTAACAGTATTTCTATTTTTTCAACCATGGAAAGCTATTTTATTACTCATTTATGAAGTAAGATCTTGAATACATTTACAAATTATGCCACACATGTAAACGTACAGTACCGTTTACTCACAGTTAAATTGATTATTGAATATCCTCAGTTGAAACCTCACAACTTCAAAGGGGCTCAGTTTCGTGTATAGTTATGTCACATCAATACCTTGGCTGAGTTCGATAATGAGCATTTTCTGCTTAGGGTAAGCAGAGTGATAAGCAATGTGATTGGTCGAGACTTTGGAGCTCGGCCAGCTTTGATTGTAATTGAATGATAGTGGTGAAACTTGGTGATGTTCGTTAGGTAAATGATTAACATTATCTGCTAAAGCTAAAAGCAATTTCATTGGTCGATACATTGGGACAAGGTAACTTTGATTCACTGCCAGGTACTTCAAAACCTTGACCGAGTTTGATCATGAACATTTCGTAACTTTTATTCACTGCCAGCCAGGTACTTCAAAACCTTTACCAAATTTGAATGTGAACATTTTATACTTAGACTGCATTTAAGTATAGATAATCAAATTGATTGCTTGATACTTTTGAAAAATATAAATGTGCAATTAATTAATATGTCTCATCTATTTATTTTGGGATTTCGGTAGGGTGACATCAGCCTCACTGTTGGCTTGTTTTATTAATAAAGATTTAAATCAACAGCCTATGCTTATTTATAATTCCAACTGTCAAGAGTTTTATTACATCCCATACATGTACAAATGTCTAATCATGTACATGCCCTGGCCTGGAGGTCACAGGTTCGATACCGGTCTTGGCCGAGACAGAGATTTTGAAAAGGACAGCTGTCTAGTCGTTCAGATAGTGCGAAAAACCGAAGTCCTGTATACGCACTGTATGTAAAAGATTCTTTGCCATATGGAATTCGATATAAGACTATAAGAGTAGGCCTTAGTGCCGCTGTCTGGGAAAAATTTCACTCATACTGTAGCACACTGTATGGCTTATCCCCGTCTTAAATATTCCAGTCGGAGCAGAAAAGTAGGATGGTAAACCCCATTACATTTCATTTCTTTTGTCCTGCACCACTGACAAAGGTGAATCATGCCAGGCAATCTTGATGACCTTTCTCAACCAACAATTGAATCGAACACAGGACCTCTAGGTTAGCACTGCCAGTCCCTTGCACCATTAGGTTTCAGAACAATAAATGATAGATCTACATGTAATGTACAAATAAATATACATATAATAATGT